CTAACATGGTAACAGTTCCACAAACTGCCCTCTGACCTCTACAAAAGTGCCATGGCTCACGAATAGCAGAAAACACACACACACACACACACACACACACACACACACACAATTTAATAAGAACAATTAAGACAGTCAAGTAAAACAAGCAGAGAAAAATAAGCTTTGTTCCTCGAGCTCATCATGATTTTGGTCCAAAAGGGCTCTAAGAGACTTTTTAAAAAATAAGTAAATTGACCCACACACTACCTTTTAAAAGCCTTTCCTTTTAATACATGTACTCAGTGTAAATGTATTTAGTCTACTCAAATTACTTTACTTTCTGACTCTGCTTTGGATTGCATTTTATACCCAGAATTTAGATTTTATAGTCTACTCACGAGTTATTTCCACTCTGTGTTTACCTCTATAGAATATGCTTTCACAGTAATCAAAACCATACCAACTGAGGCAGTGTGTGCTGGTACACACCAGGAATCCCTGCCCTTGGGAGGCCAAGGAAAAGAACTCATTTGTTTGAAGCCAGCTTGGGCTACACAGTAAGTTAAGGCTAGCCTAGGCTACAGAACAAGACCCCATCTTATAACAACAACAACAACAATAACAACAATAATAATTAATAATAACAGGGGTTGGAAAGATGGCTAAGTACTTAAGAGCACAGTTGCTCTTCCAGAGGACCTGGGTTCAATTCCCAGCACCCACAAGACAGCTCACAATGGTCTGTAATTCCAGCCCCAGGGGATCTGGTGTCCTATTCTGGCACGGTACACCGACATGCACGCTGGCAAAACATCCATACATATAAAATAAGAATAAAAGCTAAAATGTTTTTTAAAAGACTTACAAATAATAACAGTAAAAGCAACCAGTCAACCAAATAGTTTCTCTTACAAAGTTACTCATAACAAACAGAAAAAAAGATCAGTGGTAGCTAGGCACAATCCCAGCACTAGAAGTTTCCGGCAGGATGATCTGGAGTTCATGGGCATCCTGGTCTACATAACCAAACCACGCCTATCAAAGAAGTTAGCTTCAGAACGCTCACCCACCACTAGGCATCCCTAAAAACATCTGATCGTTTTCTGTTGGTCTACGGTGTCCTCTTTACTGCAGCACTGCCATTTAAATGTTGGGTCTTAGATTCTGAAATTCCCCTAATGCACAGATAAAGGGGATAATACCAAAGATTTAACACTGATCTCCAATTCCAGAGCCTTCTGGCTAGACCATAAATATAATCACACGCCACTTCTCTGCGGGGTCCACCATTCTCACTTCTACCCCTCCACCTGTGAAATGAGCACATCTCTACTGGTAAGCCATGCCAAAATGACATCTCTCTCAAAAGAGGACACTGCACACCCTGACACTGTGTGTGGGTAATAACCAGTCGGCTCTTTCCGAAGTCACACAATGTTCTTTTCATGTCCCTTCACGGCACTTATCAGTCATGCCCCCAAGTTCAGCAAATATTGGCTCTTCATTTCTCTGGTTATCAACCAAATTGCATATTTGATTCCTTCCTTTGTATCATATTGGACAGTTATCATTCATAAAATAAGAAGACAGCAGGTTGATTTCCAAGTTTGATGCCAGCCTGGTTTATGTAGTGAATTCCAGGCCAGCCAGGGCTGCATAATGAAACCCTGTCTTGACAAACAAGCAAACCAATGCCCTCCCAGTGCCATTACTGACTTTCTTGAGACAAAACAAAGCCTTCCAAAGCAAGTGCTCTTTATTCTTTGGTTTTAGGAGTTTTTAGGAGTAGGTGATCCTAGGAGGCCCGAAGTAGGGGCAGAGATTAAATTAAAAAGAAAGACAACAAAGGTAAGAGTGGACTGACAAGATGATCCACATGTGTCCTAACTGCGACCATGTCCCCCGGGGCTTCCTGATACATTCTGTTACTCCTTCTTAAACAAGCAGCTGCTGGGAGGTAGGCCACTTCTCGCAAACTTCTCACAATCCACTGCTAGCCCCTGTAAAACCTTTCCGTTTTGTTTGTTTGTTTTAAACCTCCTGAAAAGCGGACACTAGGAGCTCCGAGATAAAGTACTATTTCCATGTGCTTGGGTCCTCAAGTCTTGACATGCACCACAGCAGTAGAAAGTAGACAGTGGCTGAAGCTCTTAGCAATCAACCCACGACCATAAAGATGGAATGCCTAAACCAAAGTAGCCCCCCAAAGGCGTGCCATCTACCGCTGCAATGTCACTGTATCCCCCAATACAGTTAGGGTGTTAAACAAAGGAAGACTTACAAAAGTTACAAAGTTTCATATATGCCTTTCAATTCTCTGTAGCCACATTTTTTAAAAACTAAAATTAGCTGGGTGTGATGGTCCGTACACCTTTAGTCCCAGCACTTGGGAGGCAGAGGCAGGAGGATCTCTTGGAATTTGAGGCCAGCCTGGTCTACAAGGAAAGTTTCAGAACAGCCAGGGCTACAGAGAGAAACCCTGTCTCGAAAAACCAATCAACCAGCCAGCCAAATAAACACCAGAAGATGAAGTAAGGGACATATTAATAACCTGTCTTTCTTTTCTATACTGTCTTCAAAAATCTACACTGTATCTTCCATTTAAAGCATATCTTGATTCCAGTACTGAATTTTCAAGAGACATCTAATCTATATTTAGATTCCAAAGTATATGTGGTTTAAAAAGTAGACACACATGCTAATGTCTATTTCCCAAACATACTTCAGTTTCCAATACCTGAGTCAAGTATGGATTTTAAAAATGAAATAAGTTTAAAACATCAGTCATCAGGCCCCCTGGATTTTTCCATGACTGATGCCTAGCGTTGCTAGGGGCTACTGTAGTGACAGGTACTACCCTGTCAGTCACCTGGATTCTTTTAAACATGAATCAGAATAAAAGATGTTACCCCAGTGTGGGGCGTTTACCCACCACCCCCACAGTTCCCCAGAGTTTTCTTGAGTGCAATCAGCAGGAAATATTAGATAGAAGGATTTATTGCGGAGAATATCACGGAGATAAACAGATAGAAAATAAAGGATAGCCTCAAGAGGGCCTGGAACCTATTCCAACGGGCCCCAACTGTCTCTGGCCCAGGGTTTTTATAGAGACGCCAAGGGGGTGGAGCAAAAGACCTCCTCCCCCAGCACAGCCAAGTGCAGACCATCTCAGACACCTGCACTCAGGCCCGTGGTCCTGATCATCCTCTATTCGGACCTGCTGGGTAAAGCCACGAGGAACCCCAGAACGGGCTCCCACACCCCAGTAACCAACAAGTCTTGCTACAGTATATACCAAGTGTTCTAGTGTATTCATTTCCTATAATACTTGGTTACTACCCAGCTGTTTCTGGAAAGCCTGCTTGGTAAGGAGAATGGGGAACTGCAATTCAGGGGCATAATGGAAACATTAGTTTAGAGACACCAGCCAAGCCTAGTGGCACATGCCTTTAATCCCAGCACTTGGGAGGCAGTAACTGGCACATCTATGAGTTCCAGGCCAGCCTGGTCTACAGAGTGAGTTCCAGGACAGCCAGGGCTACACAGAGAAACCCTGTCTTGAAAAAAAAAAAAAAATTAGAGATACCAGGGTTAATTTCCAAGGAAAAGGAAAGAAACTTTGACACTAGGCTTCTTTGTCTGGGACGTTAGTCACCCCGTGAAAGTTACAATCATTGTTTACACTAAGCCTCTCAACTTACACAGAACAGCTGTCACTGTGGACTGGCATCCTGGCTTCCTCAAGCACCCCTTCCTAGCTTCTCTCCCAGGGCTGATCTATCTCGGATGGTAGAGCATTAGCCACAGAAACGACCTTCTGTTTACACACCACCACATGTGAATAACAACAAACACACACCGCACCAAATTCTCATTCATTAGCCTCGGCATCCCAGCCTACCTGGAGAAAAGCATTTACTAACAACACTCCAACAACTTTCTCCCCCCTCCCCCTCAGTGTCAAAGTTCACTTCGTCCGTCTCCCGTCCAGTCCCGTCTCCTCCCCCCCCCCCCCCCCCGCAGCTGGTTTAAAAGTTGATCTCATGAAGGAGCTGGATTCCTAAGGTAGTTCTATTTTGAGCCTTCTTCCTGTTCTGAAGCTCAAGTTGGAAGGGTTTAGGTGGTGATGTCATGGAAGGGAGAGGTGGCTTTTTCAGAAGGGTCTTCTCTGGCAACTCCGGGGGGCCACTTAGGCGGCGAATGACTCGGGAGTGCTCCCTTTTCATTCTCCCCTCCTTCCCTTCCCACCGGAGTCCCAGTGAGTCACTAGCCAGGAAGAAAATGAATTCCAATAGCGGGGCAATCACACTTGCATATTTTATATGTGAAACGTAATAAATGAAAAGATACAGGAGAAAAACGCCTAACTCTAGGAAAAGGGGGATGACTAGCTTTCTCCACCCACGTCCTCCAAACATCTCTAAGGCCAGGAGCAAAAGGGGGCTGCAGAAACAGCTGTGAGGAGGAATTTAGGAATTACATGTAGGAGGCTCCCAGGGAGCCTGCTGGGGTATTCGGAACCGGAACCCAAGGACACCCCCCCCCCATCCCTTCTCTCTCCCTCCCTCCCGTAAGCGACTTGGGGCTGGGTGTGCCTTCGGCTTGGGAGGCATTTGGCTCTGGAGAACGGCTAAGGGGCCAGGGTGCGGCCCACCGGGAATAAAAGCTTGGGCCTGGTTCTGGGCTAAGTTTAGCGGAAGAGTAGAGGAGACAGGGGAAGTGCGGATCTGAGTGGAAGACACGCGGTGGAATTAAAAGAAAAAAAGCCCCCTGAGGGCGAGGGGCATCTCTCTCTCTGTTAACTTAAGCCCAACAGTTTATTGCTGGTGATGTAGGAAAAGGGTGAAAAAAAGAGACAAATTCTAACGTAAACTGTAAACTGCAACTTCTTGGGGGTTAGAGGGCTGACGTAGCAAACGCTATCAGCAGGTGAAAAGAAGCGCCTTTTTACCAATTCTGGGGTGTGGAGGTCTGGCCAAGCCCTGGTGGGCAGGTCACTGCCTGGCTCCTTAGCTCACCTCGCCTCCAAAGCGGGAAGAAGCATAGGTGTGGTCTTTCTCCAGGAAGGTGGCAGCTGGCTACGCGGACGGACGGAGCAAGGGAAAGGATTCCTCACCGGGAAGGAGGGGAGGAGCCCCGGGGTCAGCTGCGGCCAGGAGCCAGGGTCTCCGCCAAGTCCCCTCCCCCTCCCTGAAAACCGACCTGGACCAGCATCGATTACAGCAACACCCTCTCACCTCCCCAATAATCTTGCTAATAATAATAACAAACCCAGCCCCCCTGGCCCACGCTTAAAAACAAACAAAACAAAACAAAAAACCCAGAGCTCTGAGCGATGGAAATAAACAGGTGAGTCCAGGGAGAAAGCGGGAAAGAGTGGGGATGGAAGAAGGTTG